AGAGTGGGGGTGCCGCTATGAGTGGGATTTTCTGTTCACCCAAACGGATCTTCTTCCCACCCATTGGATTGCAACCCACCCCCTCCCATTCTACAACTGCCTACCAAGGGACGCCCTCCAAGACCGCTGACACAATTCGAACACTGGTGCCCACCCAACATACCCAAATGCTCACCCAGGCATCCTGGCAATGCCGCTCATTTGGAGTTTCTCATTTGTCCCAATTAAATGTCTTAGGGCTGCAGCAGGTCATCAGAAGGCAGGCAGCCCCCCGGTTAGAAGTGAGATCCATCTTTGCCTTAGTATAGTATCACCTTTCTATGTATATATAACACTTAAACACTTCCAAATACACTAAAACATATTTAAAAGGATAATATAGTACAAAATAACTAGAACAGCAATAATAATAATAATAATAATAATAATAATAATAATAATAATAATAGACACACACACAGAATCCAAGTATTCAAATTTTTGTGGGGACTCTCCATTCATTTCTATGGGAGAAACCCTAATTTCAACAATGACAACCTTAACCCCTACCCAGCCCTAACATTAACCATAAGTAACCAAACAAAATGCAAGACTTTTGGCATTTTTATTTTGCTGACTGCAGTCACGGATTTTTAAAAGATTCAGTTTCCCCTTGTTGGGACAAAAAAAAAAAAAAGATCCCCTCAATGTCAAAACAACAGGTTTTTATCACATTGTGGGGACATTCGATCCCCACAGTGTAATATATACTTACCCACACACAGACATAAAGAAGAGGCAGGATTCAAACCCCCAACCCTAGAGGTAACATGCAGCAGTAACCCACCGCGCCTGAACAGGAACACAGCTTCATTATTCACAGCAGTGGAAATACACTGTCCATTCCTGCTTATCACATCTGGTCCAACACAAGGTCACGGGGCTGAGAACTGGCCATCCTGAACACCCAGTCTGCCGCAGCGTCTGGGAATGTGTGTATTTGCCTACACTGTCATCTGCTAAGGGTAATATATAACAACTGAATGTCCACAACACTGTCGAAAAAGTTTTTTTTTTTGAAAGTGGGGTACTTTAAAATTGCGTTATGATGAGGCCTAATAGAATTAAATTAAATACATTTTGTAAAGAGCATCATGTTGTTCGCAGGATTTTTAGGGTGATTGAAATGACAGAAATAGCCCATCCACTAGAAGGTGCCCTGTTGACAGTGGGTCTGTAGCCCTTTAACCCAGTAGCATAAACTGCTGTTAATATTCGACCCTTGTCTTCTGCATTCACCTCGCCCACTCTGTCACGTGACAGGGGACTCTCCGATCCCACCAGTTCGCATCGAGCCCTTGGCCGGGGTGGTCCTGGTGTCCCCTCCGGTTGTGGGGGAAGGTCCTTATAAAGAGCAGCCCCACCCCCTCCCTGCCCATTTGCATCATAAGATTAGTTTCCCTGTAAGGATACTGGTCTGAGGCTCAGTCAGATCTCCGTATCCATGGATGCGTTCGGGTTCACCGCGGGCACGATCCCTTTTTCTGTTTCATGCTCAGTGCCAGGAAGTGAAAATGGTACGCAAACAGATGAATGACCTCATTTAAATATTACCTAGAGCTCTTTCGGAGTCGCGCTTGCCTGTACAAGTACCATCCGTACGACGATCCAGCCTTAATTTACGTTGTTTACTGTCTTTTCTTTTTCTTTGTTATCTAGAGTAATATTATTATTACGTTAAGTCTTATTCCGTATTATATTTCCGAACTATGTCTAATGCAGCGAAATACCGGACAGTCATCTAGCAAACATGCAGAATAACAGCGAAAAAAAAATCTTATTTTAATATGATATCTTGTATGTAAGTACAACACGATAAACAACTTTTCTTTTTAGGGACTTAAGAAACGTTTAGCGATTCTGCGTCTGATCTCCACATAACGTTTTGTCAGCAAAAACCCCATGTGAGCATTCGTGCGCCATAGTGTTACCATTACCGCAAAAACCATAAGAATATCGATGTGCTACTTTTCCTGACTAAATGGAAAAAGTCCAGAAGCGTTGCTTAATGTACCCTCTCTAGTCGCTGCTGGAAAGAGCTGATGAATATGGGGGGAAAATATGTTATAAAATACTCACGTTATTGGGAGACTAGCTGGACCTCATGTTTGTATTTTGATTAAATGGACCATCTATTGATTTGATACATTTATTGTTATAATGAGAATGCACGATCAATTCCCCTTATTAAGCTGGACCATGAATAATAGATACACTATGACAGCATGCACTGGCCATGAATGGGCTGATGGATTATATACTAGTTGGAGTTAACTGACACATTAATGTAGTTTGTTGCTTAGACGTGCACTTGGTTAAATGGTTAATATAATTTAATAATTTGTCTGCTTGGCGCTGATAGATGAACAGTATTCTTAATAACTGCAATGCTGCCTTAATTATCCCCAGCTGCAGTGCCCCCCCTCCCCCAACGTTGCTGTAAGTGAACAAAGCACAAGCAAGCAGACAACACTGTCTGGAACACAAACCTGTCCAGCCAGAAAGAAAGGGCCACAAGGTATAACGTTACACACACACACACACACACTCACACACAGGTACACATGTACACACAGACATGGGTACACATGCACACACACACACAGGTACACATGCACACGCACACACACACAGACACGGGTACACATGCACACATGCACACACACACACAGGTACACATGCACACACAGACACGGGTACACATGCACACAAACACACACACAGACATGGGTACACATGCACACAAACACACACACACAGACATGGGTACACATGCACACAAACACACACACAGACACGGGTACACATGCACACAAACACACACACACAGGTACACATGCACACACAGACATGGGTACACATGCACACAAACACACACACACACACACAGGTACACATGCACACACACGCACACACACACACAGGAACATATGCACACACAGACACAGGTACACATGCACACAAACACACACACACAGGTACACATGCACACACACAGACACAGGTACACATGCACACAAACACACACACACACAGGTACACATGCACGCACACACACACAGACACAGATACACATGCACACACATACACACACTCGCAGGCAGACACACATATATGCACATACATGCACACACACACATACATGCCCTCGCACACACACACACACACACATACATGCCCTCGCACACACACACACACACATACATGCCCTCGCACACACACACATATACACGCACTCGCAGGCACACACACACACACACATGCATGCACTCACATACACACACATCCTGCATGCTACTAAGACTGTTTATAATGTTAAATATCCAAACAACTGGTAATAATAACTACATGACCTGACACCCAAGTGAAGCAGCAGTTGGCCTGGCAAACTGTCTGCTTTTTAATAATAATAATAATAATAATAATAATAATAATAATAATAATAATAATATTATCAGAGGCAGCCATAAAGCCACTGTCTGAGTGTGATCTGCTCAGTTCTGGAAGGGCGTTTTGCAGGTAAAGGGGAGCGTTACTCCTGGCTGGCTTGTCTTGTTGTCTTGGCACGTGGCTCTGCACCCCCCCCCCCCCCCCCCCGAGGTCTCTTGGTCTGCCACACAATGTGTGCTTCCTAGTTGCTCTTCATCCTCGAATTGCTAGTAGAAAGGAAGCCTTGTGTAGCGATTCTGGGTAATTGGGGGGGGAGGGGTTGGTTAAGGAATGAAACTGCGAGTGACTGCTGTGCCGGAGGCGATCTACATCACCTCTTCCTGGGCTTGGTCTGTGAAGAATTGCCATGTTACTTTATATACAATGGTCAATATATATATATATATTTATCCCTGTTCAGAAATAAGTTCCTGTGTTTCTTGTTTCATTTCATGGTGTCTGATGTCATCAAAGAAATGGATTTTGAAAATAAATATTGAAAGAGATTCTTTTCGATTTTCGATCAATGTTTCTGCGTGCGGTGAAGGCTATAGGAAGTCTCGAATTTTTGTTTAATAGCCAGACGACATGATTTTAAAACAGCTCTGACTAGTGCTACATCTGAAAGAGAAACCTGTAGCAAAAGCAGATGACAAGCAAAAACTCGGGGGAGGAGACGCAAGAACCTGCCAGAAAGTCCTCCAGAGAGAGACTGTCATGTCGACACTTCAGGTACTAAAAGTATACACTGTTTATGAATTACCCACTCATCCAATGTGGGTTGATCCTGGACATGATGCCTATTATAGGGGAGATAAATGCAAAGAATAAAGATCAGATGTTTCAGCTTATCATTTGATACAACTGAAAAAGGCTGTACCAGTTTTCCAAGACTGGACAGACAGCATTTTTCCTTATATTGGAGTATTGTTCTGTAAGCCTTAGATAACCTGCGGAACGCAAAGGTTGTTATGGCCCTGGGATTGGTGCTGCGGTGCAGGTATAAAAGGCAGGCGGACCTGCCGTTAAACAGGAGCCTGCACTTACCCGAGAGGCGGGGGTATCATTTTGCTCTCTCAGGGGATAATCTCCGCCTGATTTCCAGGAACTGGAGGGGGGAGGGGAATGAATGGAAGGACAGACATGGATTAGACATTGTGATAGCACGCCGGATGGAGACAGCCAGCGGCTGGCAGTGGGGGAGACAGACAATGGGTGGGGGCATTTTGGAGGAGGTGGTAGAGAATGTGCTGCTGTCTGAAAGTAAGGGGGGGGGGCAGTAACCCAGCATAGACTGTGCCTTCACCTACATTCATGACCCCAGGAAAATAAAAAAAATCTGGTCAGTTGAGAGGGGACTTTTTCATGCTGCGTTGATTTGGCTAGGCCGGTCTTCATAGGTGTTGGAGGGGGTGGGGCACTTGTATAGGCAGTGGTCTGGGCACGCCTCCCCCCCCCCCCCCCCCGGTGCTGTATGCGGAGGGCCTGTACAGGCTTGGCTCCGTGTGCTCACTCTGTCGCCGTGTGTCTGAGCACGCCCAAGCGTCACGAGCGGGGGGTGCCTGCTTACCGCAGGGAGGTGTCACGTGCAGGCGGGCAGAGAGACACCGTGTTCCCTTTCACTGCGAGAAGAAAACGTCCACCAGGGTAATCTCCTAAATCTCCAAAGGGAGTATGTGACTCTGCAAGTTAGGAGTCTGTGCTGGTGATGTGAAGGTCGCTGGTTCAAACAAGGTCCTCAGCTTTTCCGAGGACAGAAGCAAATGCTTAACAAATTAAATGTAAAGACACATTGAGAGCTACAGATTAGACATTGTCTACCTAGGATTTTCAGTGACGAAATCCCAGCCAGGCCAAACTGGGAAAGTACCCCAAGCCAGTGGGTGATTATGCAACCTGAGAAGCCAGCGGATCGAATCGATGCAGGCAATCTGTGCTGCAGATCGGAGAACTTTCTCAATGGGCGGATGGATGTAATGGCATGAGGAATTCTTGGTTCTGACCCAAGTGAAACAGCCCAAACCAGTCTCTTCAGGCTGTTTTCATTTCTCCACCACCTACCCCAGAAATGCAAAGGCGTTATCTTCTCACTTGAGATGGGAGGGAGCACAGGTGAGTTTTCATATTGATTATTGCAGGCTGTTTTTACTTTAGCGGGATGCTGCAAATGAGCCCCAAAGGCTTGAATCGGGTCCAGGGGAGTGGCAGTGACTAAAAAGGATAATACAACCACTCATGTCCACAATGTTCCCAAGGCACCTGCTCATGAGGTGACATAAGGTGACAGTCTTTTAAGGACACATCATTCAGCGGAGAACTTTATAGTAAATATTCCCATGTATTGAAAGTGTTCTTTTGATGTGTATAATATGGAATGCTCCACCCAACCACACCCACTGAAATACTTTTCCCCAAAGTGGATGAATTTGCCCCTCCCTCATTTGTCTCCTGGACTCGTGAAGCCCCGCCCACATCTCCAGCTGCTCCGATATCGTTTTCCCTGAACCGGGCCGCTGATGCGATAGCCAGCCATCTGTTTGCACTAAAGCTGTTCTGCATTTTCCCAGGCCGAGTGATAAAGGGGTGCGTATCTGTGCGGCTGGGGGCACAAAAATACAGAGCTGCGGTTCCGAGCATCTATTTTCCTGGAAAGAGAGAAACTCGGTGGGGCCCAGTCTGGCATGTGCTTCAGAGACAACCCCACCTACCGTCCCCCGGCGGGGGCCCCAGGCCGCCCAACAGCACGCTGTCGTCCCTCCTTCAAGTATTAATATCCTCATGCTCTGTATACTGTAAATATCACGTAAAATAAAAACATTACCGACTGATCACAGCCACTTACGTAGCTAGGAAAACAGAGATAGTGAGACATTTTAATTCAGACAAGAAAGGCACAACAATAAATCCCCATTAAATAAGAGGATGGGATTATCATTTTATTAAGGAAGAACCTGAGTAAATAAGTCTTTTATTGCACCTTTACAGTGCACACAAATGGATGCTCATGTCCTCATAGGGGAACCAGAAGGCATAAGAGGTTCCCACTTAATTCAGCGCATGACGCGTGACTCCACCCAACTTCCAGGGGGCATGCAGACGGCAGACGCCACTACGGAGGCTAACAACCCCCCCAGCCCTGGAGGCATAAGGCCACGTTCCTCCCCACTGCTTCATATCTCCTGAATTTACAGACGGGCCATTTAGCCCCTAACGTGTCATTTGCACCCTGACTGGCCTTTTAACTCGTGACATTCCTTCTTCCTGTAAAGCTTCCTGCATCACGGGCATCTGAAAGTCAGAGAGGGTCTCTCAGCTGCATCTGTCCACACAGTGCTGACAAGGTGGAATAACACAGCGTCACTGGGTCTGGCAGACGCAGCAGGGGTGACCGAATCCTACAGAGAAGAATCTTAATGTGTCACATAAGGAAAACGAAACATGCTAGGTCCTGCTGGACATGAAGTTTAAATGGTCACATGGTCACTTAGCTCATAATACATACAAATATGGAGGAAGTTAGTCTATCTATCTATCTATCTATCTGTCCATCTGCCCATCCATTAATCCATCCATCCTGGTGAAGGTTGCAGCTACATAGATACACAATATATAACTGGATGGAACGGCTTTTCAGGCTGTGGCACTTCATTGATTATTTCCTTTTATTGCTACTCTGTTAAAATATACAGCAGACCAGCTGAAGGGCTTCAGCAGACTCATGCTAATCAGTACTAATTACACCTAGGAATATAAATAGGGTTTGTTCAGGTAATAAATCATGGAACTGGATGAAATACATGTTTATAGTCGTAATAAAAGTATAAAATGAAATTGTACAGTGCTTGAAAAACAATTTATGACAGAATGAGACAAAGCTCAGAAATCAAAGATCAGAACAGAGAAAATTACAGTGCTGGAAAGAGGCTATATTGCAAGAAAGGGTCACATTCTGAGAACGTCTGACATCTTTTGTGCCCAAATAAGACTCCAGAATGACTCAACTGTAAACCATCTAAGCATGAAAAATTAAAAATGAATATCTCATAAAGGATTTGAAGATGAAAGAGGTAAACTAAAGCTTCCCGAAGACCTTAATGTTGGTATGAAGAGCAGAAGACTAAGCATATTAGCCTCGCATGTCCAGGTTGTGGGTTCAAATCCCACCTCTGCTCTGTGTGCCACTCAGTGGCCCTGCATCACAGCCAGAGTGTCCCTGCCAGGGACCCTGAGCTTTTGGTGACAGACTGCAGGATCACTGTCACCTTTTACTGGACAAATGGGCGACAGTCTAATCTTCCTTCAGTCCTGTTAGGAAGAGCAGAGATGGAACATGGCTGCCATCTGTTGGTTGTTTCTAACAAACCCGGCTGTGAATCCCTAGAGCCAGCGGCTTGTATGTGATCCTCCTATATAATTTACATGCAAACCCACTCATTTTAAGTCCATTTTAAACAATCAACCCAGCTTGAAAGTACTTGAACTAGATAATGGATTATATTAACAACATAAATTCCATTCCAGAAACCATCAGCTGTAAAGATGGTAGTGTCTATTTTCACAAGGAATTCACCATTCTCCATTTGCGGGTGAAAGTTTTTTTTTTTCCTTTTTACAAATGTGTTAACTTGATGTAAGCAACCACAATTTTTACGCACTCTTCTTTCACCCAAGTTTTTCATCTTATATGATTGTTCCATGAAAACAGAGACAGGCCTGAAAACCAAATATTCAATCTGTGTTTATTTTGTATAGACTAGTATGGTTTCATTTACAATTTTTCTTGATTGTTTTTTAGCATTTCTCCTCCCACCTCCTCCTCAGGGAGCCATCCAGGAGGCATCCTAGACTGATTGCTGAACCACCTCAACAGGCTCCGTTCGACGGGGAGGAGCAGCGGCTCCACTTTGAGCTCCTCACCCTGTCTCTAAGGCTGTGCTCAGACACACTGCAGAGGAAACTCTGCATTTCTGCCGCTTGTATCCATGATCTCATTCTTTCGGTCATTAACTGTAATACTGTAATAAATTTGCAATAATTTTACACCCAAAACAATATATGTGTGTGATTATCATGTAAACCACCACATGCAAAAAAGTTAACCAAGTTTTCAAAGTAATTCAAAAATATACAGCGCCTGACCAAAAAAAAAGCCGCATAGTTCAATATTTTGTTGGACCGCCTTTAGCATTGTTTGTGGTGCACATTCGTCAATGCATTGTTTCCACGTGCTTATGCAGCATCTCCAAAAAAAAAAAATCATCCAGATTTGCATTAATTTCTCATCAAGATCTTGTATTGAGCTGAACCACTCCGTAAAGCCTTCTTCAGCACATCTCAAAGACTTTCAATGGGTTATGGTCAAGACTCCGTGGTGCCCAGTTCACGTGTGAAAATGATTCCTTGCGCTCCCTAAACCACTCTTTAGCAGGTGGAGCCCTATGAATCTTGGCGTTATCGTCCCGGAATATGTCCGTGCCTTTAGGTAAGAAAAAACCCATTGATGGGATAAGCTGGCCATTCAATGGATTCCGGTATTCAGCTTAACGTTGCTAAGCTTTAATAAAGATGCTATCATTGGATTTTAAGTACCTGCTGATTTAAATTCAAGCAGTGGCTATTTTATGGCCAGGCCATGTATTCCATAAATTGCAGTGATACAGCATTGTTGTGTTTTTGGTTCCCGCAGTGCATGATTTTGTTGCTCTTTTGCAGTGTTGTATGACTTTATTATTTGCTATTGTATACTGTGTTGTACAATGGAATGCTAACATTTCTGATGCATAAAAGGGCTTTCTTGAACTTGCATTGTTAAGATTCATTCTTGACATTGCTTGGCAACAAGACTGTTTCTAAGGCGTGTACCAGTGACTGGATATTGTTGATTTTCCCTTCCAATTTAACTGCTTAAGAAGTCAGTGATGTGTCTAAACAGACTAGGGATGCACAGAGAACCCAGTATTTGAATTTCTATCTGGATTTGTTGAGGAGGCAAAATTGTTATCCCAAAATCTTGCATACAGACTGGCCCTAATAAATGCCTGTCACGCCAGTCCCCGGGGACCCACAGAAGGTCCACATTTTTGCTCCACAAGTTTAATTCCATACACATCCGGGGTCAATCCTGTCCAGAAGGACCTTATGGGTACATCATATACACTGTATACATACAGTATGTTATCGGTATTCTGTACGGTACACAATATATCAACACTCTACCTGTACTCCTCTAAAAAGCTAAAATACTTTATACCACAGAATACACATTCAAATACTGATAAAATGACAGTAAATGATAAATGGATAAAATACATGTTTATTATCGCTGTCAAGTATTATGGGTAAGTTTGATGGGCTACGTGCTGGACCATTACATTGCGGGCAATGCAGTCACTTTGCAGATCTGTGCTCTGCAGATCTTCAGAGTACATCTGAGTCCCAAAGTAAAGTGCATTCAGAATTAGAACATTGTGTTTCTAACCATTTCATTGTATATTGTACCTTATGAGCACCTGATGGAACGTTATGTCGCAATATAAACATTTGAAATGTTTCCTTGGGTGAAGCATGATTATGAACGCGCTGTCTGCGATGAGCTTTTCATATCTTGTCCCCAGAAGGTGTCCTTCACAGGGTAAAGTGGATGTTCTTCACGTGTGAGTCAGGGGCACCTCTAAGCTGCAGATCTCACCTCCGAAGACCTTCAACAGGAAGAGAGAGAGAGTGACATTTTGCACCACATGTACTCCAGCTGCTAAAACACACCCAGCCAGGAAGAACTAACGACCACTTTGCAGAGTTGTTTGAAACGATCATTCCGACTTGGTGACTGTAGTGGGAGGAAATGGTATGTTTAAAGCCCCTCCCCCTACAAGCACATTTAGACACAGTGTACAGCAAATAAGCATGTGCAGTGCATAGATATGGATCGAGTGCCTGTCTCTCACCAAATGCTGATGTTGAGGGAACGTTGTGAAGCTCTTTGCACTTGCACGTGCTTGCCGCTGGCTCGCTATGGCTCCTTCACACCACACGACTTGTTGACAACTTTTTAAACCTTTTCAACGGCTTTTTAAACTCCTGCCCCCGGCTTCACCTAACCCTGTGTCTTGCGCTCTCATCGGCTGCAACTCTGACACACAGTTTATTAGGTATACCTGCTTGATGATGATAGTGTCTGCTCCTCATCGGTGTACTAAACAGAACAGTCACGACTGGCGAAGTCCGTTAAGGATTCATAAATCAAGCAGGTGTTTTAGGGACGAAAATGATGTTAAAAGCATTTCATGCCTTAGATCTGTGCAGTCAGTTTTAAAGCCAAAACTCATTTGTGTGGAAACGAATAACAGCCAAAGATAAGGATCACAGCAATTAATTAGCAAAGTAAAGGAAACACATTTGAACTCAAGAACTCTATGTCAGACTCATTTAAGAAGAAAATGATTTTTTCCTTCACAGATAAGCATATTCTAGTTGACATGCCTTACAGGCAGATAACTTTAAAGAATAAAATTACTTTAATGCCATTAAGGGACTGACACCTGGACTAAAATCATAATTATTAGAGACGCACCGATCCGATATTCGGATTGGTAAAAAGCACCGATCCAGACCTATTTGACGGATCGGGTATCGGCCACGTGTCCGATCCACGTCCGATACTTACTTATTTAGTTTTTGGCAGTCTGTAAAATGATAGCTGCTATTTCTTGTTAAATCTATTTGTACAATGGCATGACAGCTCTTTCCCATTTTAGATGTCCTTATTGCAGCACGCACGCGGAACGCCAATGCTGCCACTCAGTATTGTGAGCGCAGTGACTTCCGCCTGCTGTGACGTCATGCGCAAACCCTTCGCAGTAGCTTCGCATCTAAGAAGCTGACAATCTGGAAACACGAAATTGTTATGTATGGTTCTAGTGGCCTACTTAATTTTTTGGGCATACTGCATTCTCTTTAATTTGTATTTTAGTCATATTATACTAACATTTTAAAAGTATATTATAAATATATATAGATATAAAGAGCTTTTGTATCGGATTCTATATAGGAAGTTATCTATCGGAATCGGGTCCATTTCTAATAATCATAACCAGGGTTTTTTTTTTTTTTTTTACCTGAGCATGTGACCATGAACGGTTGGATTACATCACTACACACTTACCATAAGCTGTTCCTGCACACAGCTTCAGGTGTCACCTGAAAGGGGAAAAAAAAATTCTTGACAAATTGTGGGGGTGCTGGCGGCTTAGTGGGTAGGGGAGTGTGTGCTCGTGATTGAACGGTTGGTGGTTCTACTCTCTGACAAGCAAGGTACCACACCCTGGTGAGAAATAGCTTTCCACTGATGTCACGTAGGTTAAACGCAGAGGACACATTTCAGTGGTGTGCTGGGATGTCGATGACAATCATGTATGAAGCAAGAAAAAGCCTTCCAAAGACAATTACTCAGCAGCCACTTCCTTAAGCTACATTACACAAGGAATAGAGCAGTACCAAGAGCGTCACATGGGTAAGGCAGCGAAAAAGTAGAATTACTGATGTCTCCGGGACACATGGCCGTGGGCCCTTGTGCCGGGGGGGCGGCCTCGGTTGCCTGGTTTCTCCTGCCTTCGCCTTCGGCCTTGTGGGGGGGGGGGGGGGGGGGGCTGTCGCTTCCCCCGACGGCATCATATGCCAGCACATCCAATGACAAATCAGTTCACACCTACACTTACACATACATATAAGAATGGTTGAGCGATCAATATCATTATTATTGTTACTTTTTAGCGTGTGTTATAGACATAGGAATTGAAATATACATGTATAAGGGTAGGATCACGTACGTGTATGTATGCTACATATATATAATACCTATTTGTCACATTATTAATTATTATTACTGATGTTATGTTTGTTGTTTGATGTCCTTGTAATGTGTTATTTTTCTTATGGTTGTTTGTATTCTGTATTTCCCTACACTTCATTTTCTCCATCCCACCGACATTATTAGTTTTATTTTTTCTGTATACCTCCGTTTCCTTTTTTTTTTTCTTTTCTCTCCCCATGGTGATTAATGTCTGTTCTCGTTACGATTGTTGTCTCTGTATCCCCCCGTTTTTTTTTTTTCTTTCCCTCCACGGGACGGGTGAGTTCGGAGCAGCCACACTCTTTGCTCTTGAATTTAATGTAAAATAAAAGTTGTCCTCCGAAGAGGGGGGGTGGTGGTGGGCAATTAAAAAAGAAAAAAAAAAAAAAGAATTACTGATGTTTTCTAAAAACTGGACTTCCTAACTATGCACTTGTGAAAACTGACATCAAGGAATGTTTGTAGCTGGTGTAACCAAAGCGACTGCACTGCCCACCATATCATTGTACAGTACATAGCCCATCAAACTGAATACCCATAATGCCCTTGCACACCAGTGAATTTGCACGTTACACAACACACGACAAAAGCTGATGAGCTATTCTTTATTTCACACATCAGTAAAAGAACATTTCAAATTCCAACCCATTAGAGATATCTGACAGTGAAAATGTCATACAAAAAGTCAACCATTTAGTTTGTTTAAACAGACGGGAGGAGGGTTACGTCAAAATTAAGATGAATGGGTAAAAGGCCACTGGGACAAGGAGACTGGGTCTTCAGCCAGTCCAGTCACACCAGTGTCCCCGTGGCCTGCTTGTACATCAGTGCTTTAACCAGCCAACCTTCCCAAGCGATCAGCAGGACACGAACTGGAGGTACAGATTGAGGAAGGACAGGGTGCAGACGTGTTAACCTGTGGTCTGTCTCGCACATAAAACAAAAACACGGCATACAATTCCAGCAGAAGTAGGGAAAAAAAAATATTCACATGAATAGCAACATCTGCACCATGTATAAAACCTGGTTAATATGCAGCCTAAAAGACGATGTGTACAAGGCATCCAAGCCCACAGGAAGGGCAAAGGGAACAGGGCAGAAAATGACTAAAGCAGATATAAAAACAAACACGCCCACCCAACAGAGTGCAGTGTTAAGAGGATGGAGTCAAGTAGACTTGCCATCTTATGAGCACAGCACAGCTTCTGTAAAATGCACTCGAGTGGGTGGAAGAGGGGAGAAAAAGAAAAATTGAAATCATATTCATCTAAGGTGACGAGCACAGCATCAGCACTATGCCTGGTGACCATGATCAAACCAATGGCGGCCGTGAGCCAACATGGCGCTAAAACACTAACCAATCCAGACAAGCAGACGTGCAAGTCACATGATCAATAGGTTTAGGGGAGTGGGGGGCAGGATTAACTACTGTATACTAAAAGGATTAACTGAAAGGACTTCCAATCAAGATGTCCCAACTACATGTGAGAAACAAGACTGAACATTTCATTACTGGTTAAAAAGAAAAAAAAAAAAAAAAAGTACTTAACCGATACTGTCATCAAAATACAGAAAATAAAAATCCACCGTCACAAAAAGATAGATTTCTCCCTGACTTAAGCGTCCGCGCTCCTTTGAATGCTCTGCACAGGCCGAGAGCAGCACGAAGGGAGATGCGGACATGTCGAATTCTGCGTGAAAGAACAGAAATCAGAGCAGCAGCACAGAGAGCACAGGCTGCGCTGCCCCCCCCCCCGACACACGGCACCCCGTTTTCTCCCTCTCCCCAAAACGTGAGGACTGAACCAGCTTACAGAGAGGTTTGTCATGAGGTATGTGAAGGACCTTGGAGGTCCAATAGCAGTATGTCTGGCAAAAAGTGACGGACCAGCATTTTGTGTGGGGAGGGGGAGGGGGGGTTGGGGGCCCATAGAATTGGGACACAAGAGTCATGCGAGGACTAGAGAAGTAAAAAAAAAAAACCTGTAATGTACGGCGAACTGAAATACTGAGAAACAGACTGCTGCTCCCCCCCCCCCCACTTGCAAAGGGAGGGCATCCATGACAATCAACCAACGCAGAGTAAATCTAAGGGCTTCAGCAGGAAGTGTTCAGGCAGTGAAACAGGAGAGCTTTCTTCAGTATGCTCTCTCCAGGTCGACACGGACCCGAGCCCACACCACAACGTGACAAAGCTGAAGGTAGTCTGCTCATCTTGCAGATTCACGTGTTCCTCGTTCTGCAAAAACGGACCATCCACTAGGTTCACTGGCAAAGCCTCCACAGATTTAATCTCATCTCACATCTTCCACATCTCCAATCAGGAAGCAGCACTGCCTGCAGACATGAGCTCCTCCAGTTCTTACAACAACCTCATATTCCTACTAAGCACACAGGTCAGACGGCTGCACTCAGGAGCGTAAAGAAGCTACTGATGACACTAGAGCATCTTTGATAGCAGCCCAGCACATCAAGACACAAAGCAGAGAAGATGGCAGGGCCAGTCAATGTGGAACCAAGTCTGCTAAACGTCCTAAAAACCAAAGACGTGATGGGACAGTGCTTTCACTTCACACTTAAGTTCAGGAAACACCAAGAGAGTCGAGAGAACCATAGAAAATAGCAAACACTCAATCCTACACAACACCTTGACTCTCATGCAAAATGAATGATCCTAGTGCAGTTACACGTTTCACTGAACGACGAGGGACACTCGGCTTCTCAATATAACCTGAAACAAAACCTAGCCGTCAACTCCGGGTAAACAAGTCAGCTGCGTATAGTCAATCCCCACTAGCAGAGCTCCATAGTGAATCCAGTGATTTACATTCCCACAATAAAAATACTGAACCATCCGCTGAGGAACAGATCAGGTGACCCCAGTCCTACGTCATCTTGACCATAACAAAATAAAAGAATCAAATTGTAAAACCACAGCCAATCCCAAATCTCAGAGAGCTTGTCATTCACACATCGAGACTTAGGAGTAAATATCCAATATGCCCGCAAAAAAAAAATTAAATTGAAATAAAATCAGAACAAGCAGACAGACTAACATAGCATATCTAAAACTAATTCCCCTGAAAGGGTCTTTTAAAAACTTTGCGTACCACAAAGTAGGGAGGGGAAAAAAAAGACCTTTGTCCAGTATAAAAGACCATTTTCAACATCCATAAGTCATTACGAAAGACAATGGGTAGCCAGTCACCAGTTAGTCATCTTCTATATACACGCACATAAATATGGATATGTTGACTGTTTACCATGTTGTATAAAAAGGTCCTTCCAGTGCTAGAGCAGAAAAGCAGATGGGTGTGAACGGCATGCCTCCCTTTCACTGGGGGGGGGGGGTGGTGTTGAGAGGTTGAGTCCAGCTATGATCAACAGGCCTAAGCTGAATGAGGTAGTGAGTCAAAAATGAATCCTTTACTGGTCATCCTCCTCTTCCTCAGATGATTCCTGTTCCTTTTCCTGAAAAGCAAGAAGGCATACAATGAGGTGGTCATTTCTACCAACACGGGCTGACATCCTGATGACATCCAAACCCCTGTGAGGTCCACAGAACGTGGGGATTTGAGAACATGTGCAAAAACATTGGCTCACACAATAGGACGCAACTGCTAATTATAGCCATTAAGGATACAAAACACCAGCCGCAGGTTCATGTCCTCAAAGGACCCGTCGCGGAGCCCTCAATGAATCATAAGTAATAGCCACTCTTCTACATCTAGGCAATTCGGGATGCAAAAATGCAACAGGGGCAACAATTTTTAGTCATATCTGTGCATTCCCAGCATGCAACAAGAACAAAAATACAGCAGCAGATGAGTCTCTAAATCCAACAGGCTTCTGGGGTTGAACCTGAGTCACCTGGCCTGCAGGGGGCGCATAGGAGTAGGACAAAGACGCAGCAGTGTGAACACACAGCTGACCAGCACCCTGAAGACCCCATTATGGAGGTTAGAATTTGAGGATTTTATCTTGAGGACCACAACCCAAGAGCCAGAACAGCTTATTAAGCCTAAAAGATTAATCACTGTCACACTCACAAGCCTGTTCAGGGAATCTCAAGCCAAGGGATCCATACGTCAGTCTAAGTAAACAAACCAAGTACCAGAAATGACACACCTATCCTCACTGAGACCCTTCCAAGGCTGAATCGAACCCTCCCCAGCAACATCAACAGCTTGGAACCATTGAAAGCCTCCTTTTTGTTCTGGGCTAAGAAAAGTAAACTGATAAAATGTTTCTGAAATGCAGCCAAGTGTGTTTTGAATGGTTGCCATCAGCAACAGACACAAACCTACCACACACCACATTACAGGAACGAGACTGAAGGATTAATGCACTGAACAGTCCCTCAACTGCACCAATTTAGTGCAAACCCAGATCATGATTGCTGTTTTTGGGGGAAGGGAGAGAAGCATTCTGAAGAGTTCATTACGAATCCCACAATTTAAGTGACCATTTCACACCGAGTATTACATTTGACAAAACGACATTGATTGCATTGCATTTCTGTTACATCCCACAATAAACACGTATAATTTACTCGCCAACAAACCATTAAACCTTAGGACTGGCTTGGGCATGCAAGGACCGGGTATGTGTTCTTGGCAAGTTTGGAATCCCATACAAAAAAAATCATCACCACCACCACAAGCCCAACTGCACAATTATGCAAAAGCTTATCAAGAACTAATGTGACAATCAATACAATTACTGAACTTTCCCAAGATGTCGTCCTACAGAATTCAAACAAAACGAATGGTGTAGAAATGAGAGCCATTGGCTTACCTGCTTCCTCGGCCTCCCTCTGCCTTTTCCCGACGGAGCTTTCACAGGCTTGGCAGATTTGGCAACCTTCTGTCAAAGCGATAAGCACAGTATCAGCCAAGATGCTCAGCTCCATGTGACCCAGCAGAGGAGCACGACCCTCAGAGCGGCTACACAAACCACCACTAGAGGGAGCCCAACCTAAGCTGGAACATCACAAACAGCAAAGGGGAGGGGCCAGCTTCAAAACCCACCCCCTTACCACCAATCAATAATCGCCTGCCCCCTTACCACCGGTTACTCTGCCGGTTCATGGGTACACCAGGCAGCTAGCGACAAATCCCGCCCACTGCAGGCTGTTTAGTGCACCCACCTCTATTAAGCACTAAAGTTACTGGCCATTAAAGTGACTACAGTCTGCTACCAATGTAGCAGCAGAGCTTTCACGGTACGGTGTCTGCAGCAGAACATGTACAAAAGCAGGAAGTCACTTTATACTCAAGGTTACGCAAAACCAGCTTCCAAAATAGGACATGGACAGCATTCCAGCAAGACTGTAAATCTGGAAGCAGAGAATGCACAGCTGAGCAGTACGGGCCTGGGGGGAGGCGTGCAGCGCTGTACGACTCGCCACGGGCAAACAGGCGTGCACTAGCAGCTGCCGTGTGGCCCATACGCACGAGGGGCTGGTTGGGGGCAGGCAGATGGGCAAAATGTACACCACAGACATCAAGCTGAAAGACACAAATGCAGGACTTGCCTTTGCCTTGGTGGCGGTCTTGTTTTTGCTTCCCTTCGGTCTCCCCCTCGGCCTCTTTGGAACTGGGGAACTAATGGTCTCCTACGGAGAAATGAAGTTCTTCTTGTAAAGCATACTTTAAGGTGGCCTGGAAACCAGTCACCACCCTTAATTCCTCTTCTAAGATACTCTTTCATCTGTTGAACTGTAGGCAGTATTACACAATCCCCTTCAGTAACTGAATTTCCCTCCAAAAAGCAGAGGAAATTTAGGAGTCAAGTCAGTGGCTGTTCCCGGAAAAATCAGGTTTGCTGCACACCATTAGACAAGAAACAGTTTAAAGATCCGTGTGTTTACGGCAGGAATGTACAGATTCATTGGCGATAAAGATC